TAATTGGAAGAACTTCAATACTCTAGAAGGCTGTAAAAACCATTTAGATCAATTTATCACCCAGAAAATTACAAGTTCTAGGAAAATGGAATGGAATTATGAAGCTGCCATGAAGATGCTGAAAGGTAGTGGAACAAAATGGCATGCAGTTGAATAAATCTATGTGCAAACTTCTAAATGTTTTCTTTGAAATTCACTTAAAAATAATTACAAACTTTTCTTCTGACTCAATATATATGAGTTCCACTTGAGGTCTGGAGTGAACTTGTGTCTCACTAGATGTTCAAAACATGGAGTTTCATTGGGTGCAGCTGTTTATCATGACTTAAGAAAAGTTTTAGCTCTGAACTGTAGTGATGAAATGTTACCAGCTTGGTTTCAGAAGCATTGAAAGTTACAAGCCAATCTTTTTCCTACTGAGCTGTTAAATCTAGGTCAAATGAAAGATCAGCTGCCAAACCCATATCATCTTCATTTTTGGATGTGCTTCCATAAATTGCATAGATGTTTACTAGTGATCTCTATATGTTCCTTGATGGATCATAAATAAAAAGCAGAAAAAGTGAACTGAGGAGAAATATTTGGGGACATCTATATTGATTTCAGAAGACTGGCCATTCATAATGACTTTCATAGAGCTATCTGGGAGAAATGATTGATAACTGAGTAAACTCTTTCAAAAAGGCCATAGCTGGATGCCCTCAGAATAAGATTAGGCTATTTTTGAAGAAAGTTAGGAGCTTCATCAATGAAAGATCTGAAGTTATCCCAGTCAGTATAGAGGTATGAAAAAATTGTCCAATGAAGTCAAAGGATGTCTAACGCAACTCTTTGGCCAGTTCTGAATGTGGCATGAGTCTCATAACAGTATTTTCAGTAATAAAGATGAAAGTAGTGGTTACAGTGAGTGATGACTGCAGCACATTCATGCGTATAGATAGGCTGACTTTTTGGTGTTTGTTGGTATTTCTAAAAAGGGATGAAATTCCCAATGCCACAAAGGATGCCCTCAGAAATGAAGGCAGCTGTTCTAGATACTCTATTTTTGAAGAAAGTTAAAAGAGGAGCATCTAAAGCTATCCCAGTGAACTTTAGAGTACAGTAAGATTGGACATTAGAGAATTCTTTTTCTTTGGTATTGATCTTCACATATAGCAGTGATTGATTTCAAGAACCCAAAGCAGATGATACAATATGATCAGGACAAGTAGTGAGCAAGTGGTTTAGCAGATTTGCATAGTGACCTACACAATCAGGAACATTAGGGATTTTTTTAATACTTTTGATCCCTGAATACAAAGCCCAAGAGCCACTCAAGGTAGATACTTACAGAATGTAGTTGTTTTAAGGGCATTAAAGTGAGAAGTAAGAAGTGCATATTATGAATATATGTAGGATAGATAATGGTTGACCTTAGACTTGAACATTATAGTGATCAGGAGAGCATCTTCTTGGGAGTCTGTTTCACAAAGTAACAGTTCTGGGAAAGAAGCTGTCTGGGTGGAACTTCCTCCTTACCAGTAGAATATGAAGGGAATGAGGATAATTATTCTGTAAGTGGTATGACAGGTCCTAGCTGTAAAGATGCAACTGGTGGAACTAAGAAATGTAGTTCATCTGAACATCTGCCATGAAAATAACGATAAGCTACTGATGTTTTATAATGTGGGAAAGTGGCTGCTTTTGACAAGAGTTACCTCCCTTGAAGTGCATTAGTGTTAGCAGCAAAAAAAAAAAAAATAACAAGTTAAAAATGATTATATGTATGCTTCTTCTTGTGACAAAAGTGCATGGATGCATCTAAAATGGTGCAAAATTTTCTTTTTCCTCTTTGTAAGACTACTATTTATCCAGTCACCTTCAATTTTCTAAATAAAATGCTGAGAATACAATGGACAGAACATGTAAGCAATGAGAAAGTTTTAAACAAAATGGGAACAAGAAGACAATTATACTTAAAATCTGAAAGAAAGTTTTGAAATTTAAGATACATCAGGACATAATTGAAAGCAGTAGTTTATGAAGTCCAATTTTCTAATGTCCCCCTCACACACTTTGTTCCAACAAACAGTGGAATGCCGGCTCTCTACATTCTCTACCCACACATTTCCATCACTGATGCGAGAGTTCCTTCATATTGTTACAGTGTTGCAAACTTGAATTTGATTCAGCTATTGTCTCGATCAGTTGTCTCTAAACTTTTTTATACCACTGACCAGCTTCATACCAGACAATCTCCACAGACCGAAAGTGGCACATATGAGTAATTTAAGTGCATTTCAATAAAGAGAGAAATAATAAAAAGAGCAATTTACTAAAGGGAAGAAAAAATATATAATCTTTTGACTTTTATGTCTGGGCTCCAGCCTGACCATACACTTGCATGCTCAGTTTCCATGAATCAATACCTATTACACTATTATCACATCAATATCAACTCAATGTAGAATGTAGAATCAGTGAGAGCCTTGATCTAGTTTCCCTGCAAATCTAGATGGTCCCATCTGGTAGTGATGGGAGACAATGACACTTGAAGTGTGTTCCTTATGTCTAGTCTACTTTGTAATTTTGTTTTGGTTATTGTCATTGCAGAAAACCCCACTTCACAAAGATATGATGTTGGAAAAGGAAATGGAGCTTTCCGTGTTTTGTGACAATGTCAGGATATTCTGTCTTGACTTAAATGCAGAATGAAGGAGGATTGAAGTTGTCTCAGATATACTTTTAAGGTTCATCATTTGCAATGTCAAGCAGCTGATCTTCTATCAGGCTTAACTTTAACCAGATTCACCTGGCTTGTTCACAAATTGACTGCAGATCCATTCCTTCCCCACTGGGGCATCTTTTGTGGTTGGAAAGTAATGCTCAAACTTTTTTGAAAGCTAGGACAGGTGATAACGCACAAGCTCAGTGAATGAAGGTCCAGGTTCAGTCTCTTCCATAATCTCTGCCAACATGTGAGACATGTAAAAAATTCAAATGTTCACTCGCTGTTTCTATGATTCCAGTTTGGCTTTGAATGCAGCAATCTTATCTGCTGACTTGAAAACTGTTGTTATTTTCCCCTGAAGTGAAAGATTTAGTTTGCTAACCAGGTTTCAAATATGTCATACAGGTAAGCAAGTATTGCAATCCATTCAATGTTAATGCACTGCCAGTGGTGTCAGCTTTTCTAAAAGAAATCTCTGAAGTGGCTCCATAATTCTAAAACACTAGCTAAAGACCTACCTTAAGAAAGCCATCTCACTTCTGTGTACATGAGAAGATTTCTATGTTCTACATCCATCTCTACACAAAGCTGCTCAAACAAACGTGAGTTAAGAGCATGTATTTTAATGTAGTTAATAACTTTAAAATGTTATTAAGCTCAGATGACATTTTTCAGCTTACCACCATTCAGACACATATTCAGAAGCAACTTCCTTGATCTGTTGTAAGACCAGAAAGCTGTCCAGTCATTGCTGCTGCTGCTCCATCTGTGCATATGTTGACACAAAGTGACCATTTGTCTTCCTGATTGTTCAAGGATTTGAATAGTTCTGCAGCTCTGGTGTCAGTTGGAAAAAACAATGCACATAACAAATCTCCATGCACATCTTCCTGAAAAATATATTGCACAAAAATTAGCAATATCATCAGTTGATTCATCTGCCTGAATTGTATTTGTGTGCCATGGCAACTCATTAATCCTCTCTAACAATTGATCCTCAACATCCTCTGCTACTTCATTAATTTGCCTTGTTATGGTGCTAGCTGAAAGAGGAAGGTTTGTAAGCTTTTTAACTGATTCCTCTCTGAAAAGTTCACTGCAAATGTCCTTAGTAGCAGGCAAAATCAACTCTTCACCAATAGTGAAGGGATTTTTGTCTTTAGCAATACGTCTGTAAAGTGTGAATCAGCTGCTGTGATGAACCCCTATTTTATGTAGGACACTTGGTATTTTCTTTTAAATGCAGCTTACTTTTTGTTTGCACCATGCAACCCTTCCAGTGTCTCATCAATGGATCTCTCTACCTTTTCAAAATAATTATTCAGTGACATTTCTTTTGTTTGAGTCATTGTACCAAAATTCTTTAAAATCTGAAAATTAGAGGGGATTAGAAAATTAGTTCAAAATTATTACAAATAAATAAAAATATACATTACTTGTAAAATTTACTTAGTTATGATAGGTAATTAAAGATAGATGTAAAATATACATTAATTATAAAAAAAAATGTACTTAAACAGATCTTTTAGAATTAAAGTCCAATATTTAATTTATCTATTAAGTAATTTTAAGCAAGTTAATCATTTCTTTGTGGCCTGGTAGCAAATGAACCACAGAACGGTACCGGTCTGTAGTCCAGTGGTTGGGGAACTCAGGTCTAGATGAAACCAATGAAGAGGATTTTTACTTTTCAGTTTGTGTGTGTGTGTGTGTGAGAGAGAGAGAGAGAGAGAGATATTTCTTTTTCTATGGAAAATTAAAAGTATTAAAAATAGGTACAAGGGATATTTTTCAGTGCACCCACGTAGCTACTGAATGTGACACGGGGTCTGGATTTAACAGTGCTAAAAGTAGAGTAGATACATGGACAGTGAAACTTTGGTTAAATAACATTGTGTTTTCACAAAAAAATGACTTTGTTGCTGAATTTATTCTGCTGAACACAAAAGTATTACTCAGGCCACATTTTGTGCTGGCCTGATTTTAATTACAAAGACTATTCGATCGATTTTTTTTTTTTGCAATACACACTCTTTGTTATCTGTGTGTATGTAATTATGTTTATGTGTGCACTGTATATATATATATATATATATATGTGTGTGTGTGCAAATGTATATGTGTAATTATGTATATGTTATGTTTATGTGTGTGCATGTATTATAAATTTAAAAATATAATTTAAATATAATAATGAAAATAAAACCAGAGAAATTAATTCAAGAAAAGATAAAAGAATTTTGCTATGAATCCTTTTAATTAGTTAACTTCTTTACTTTTACATTTATAGGTGCATTCCTTATTCCCTATTTTGTGGCAGTCATCCTAGGCGGTGTTCCTGTGTTCCTCCTGGAGGTCTCTCTAGGGCAGTTTATGTCCGAGGGCGGAGTTGGGGCCTGGAAAATCTGCCCGCTCTTCCAAGGTAAGTAAATAAATACATACATACATGATGACTGTCAACTTGATCAACGAGTATGACCATCGCTGACAAAGTGTAATCAATATTTTTGGTTCTTGTGAAAATGACAATGTCTCTTGAAGCCTGTATGTTGCATATGTGTGTGTGCATATGTATGTGTGCTTGAACGCAATGTGTGTTTAAAAAAAGTTTTTGTTTTATGTATTTCTTAACTTTACAAAACCTACTTTCTTTATAAGTCTCTTTTTCTCATTTTATCTTTTCCTTTCTACTCATTCATTCAATCATTTTTTTTCTTTCTGTATATCTTTTTCTTTTTTCTTTATTTATTTACCAAAATCTTATTGGAAATCGTTCTTTCTCTCAATTTTTCTTTCATATTTTTTATTACCACATTTTGCCTCATTTTTTCTTACACTTTTTCTTTTCCCATTTTTCTTTCTTTTATTTTCCTTTCTTTTATTCCTTTTTTCTATATATAGTTTTCTTTTTCCCTTTTTTGTTATTTTTTATCAATTATTTTTTACTATATTCATATTACAAAACTTTCTTCCTATCTCACACAATTTTTTCTCCGTTTCTTTCTTCCACTCTTTCATTTTTCTTTCTTTCATTATATATTTTAACTTTTTATACCACTATTCTGTTTATAAACCCTTCTTTCTTTCTTTGCTCCCATCACATTTTTTTACTTCCTTTTTTTCTCTTTTGTTTCATTATTTATCCTACCATTTTATACCATACTCATCTTAAAAGCCTTTTTTTCTCTTTTTACTCCACTCCAGGAATTGGTTATGCATGCTCCATGATCGTGTTTTTCCTTGACTGTAATTACAATATTATCCTCACATGGTCATTGTACTACCTCTTCTCATCATTCTCTGCTGTGCTGCCCTGGTCAAGTTGTGGAAATGAATGGAACACGGTGAATTGTACAGAATTTGAGTCAATCCGCAACAAGACATTGACAGCACGCAACACCACCATGCATCTGCTTCTTGATGACGATATAACAAATGCATCCTTTGATGGTGCAGCCACTGAAATGACACAGCAATATATGCGCAAGATTGTCATGGATCCCGTGACAGAATTCTGGGAGTAAGCATTTTGTCAAATTTATATATATTCTATTAAAATCTGTCTGTCTTTGTAAATGTTCATTCCCATTTGTTTTGTTATATATCTATGAAGGTATATGTATGTACATGTATGTGTGGGTATATGTATATATGTGTGTATTTGTTTATGCATATGAGTGTGTGGTGTGTATATTAAGCATATATCCGAGTAGTTAGAATGTTTCCTTTCCAACGATGAAGTGCAGGTTTGAATGTCATCATGCGTAGTCAATTTATCAGCAAGGTGACTTCTTGATATTATCAGCCTGTAGGAGGTGACCCCAAAGTTTGATGCCTTTGAAAAGTGTTTGAAAAACCACACCCCAGGTTGACTACAGCTTGTTGTGCTGCAACAAAGTCACAAGTCTTTGTGATCAAGTATTTGAGCATTACTAGGGTTGTTCAAATTTCTGATCATACCAAATTTTGCACTCCAAGATAGATGCCCTAGCTGACAGATATGCTTGTAAAATCAGAGTAACCAGCCATTTTATGTGTATATATATGTATGCATGTGTGCGTGTGTTTATATGTATTTTTCATGGAGTTTTTCTTTGGAGAAATACTATCTGGACTATATATATATATATATATATATATATATATATATATATATATATACTAGCAGCATGGCCTGGCGATGCCCGTGCTTGATTAAAAAATTGTACGACTCATACAGCAATTGCTATCACTTGACTTAAAATATTTTTGCCCTTCCTTGCCTTTAAAGGAGTGCCCTTTGCCATGCTGATGTTGCTACATGCCTTACTTCTTGCCTATCTCACACTGCGAATTTTTTCTAAGCTCTATACTAAACATTAAATCTCTTACGAAAAAAGAACTAAACAAAATGAACACAAAACGATCAGCTTTAAAAAAGGACTCGTAACTACAAAAACCGAATGAAAAAAGAATGTTAACAACAAATACTTTTTAACACCCAACCCAGTTTTGCAGAATCAGAATCAACGTTGAGTTTAAGCAAGCGAATGAGCCAATTGGAGTAAAGTGCCATGCAGATTTAAATTTTTCCCACTTGTGACGAATGAAGCTATCGATTTTTTTTGCATGCTAGCATGCTAGTTAACATTCATGTCAGTCAGCTGTTGGCTCTAACGCTGGCCAATAGAATCTTCCTGCCTATTCGTGGCAGCCAGCTATTGGCTCTCACTCTGGCCAGTAGAAAATGGCCGCAAACTACATGAAAACTGCTGTAGAAGTATGAAAAAATTGATTATTTCCACTATTGATTATGATTGATAATGCTATACATTAGGTAGAGCAATTCTATTCCCAAAATGAAAATGAAATACTAGCAGTATTATATGCTTCCATCCCTATCTGTTGATTAATTTTAATGATCAATTTTTCCAAATTATTACAATTTCTTCTCAGAAAAGAAGCAAATTCTTTCATTTCAGAAGAAAAGTACAAGAAATATGGTCTAAACTTTTGACTTTTGTAAGCTATCGTCAGTGTAGGTAGAGACAATTGGTGAGTTAGGTAGAGCTAGTGAATATTTTGATGAAAGGCCAGAGATGGGGTGAGAGCAGTACGCGTTCGTTAAAGGCACCAGAACAAGGAACGCGATATTCAAGATCAGAATGTTATCAGAAAGAGTGATACAAATGCAGAAGGATGTGTACCTATGTTTTATAGACTACACAAAAGCCTTCAACAAAGTACACCACAAGGATCTGCTGGAACTGCTCAACAACCTTGATATATTCAAGAAAGATATCAGAATAATTGAGAACCTATACTGGCAGCAAACAGCATGCATACATATAGGGAACCAGTTCAGTGAATATACAAAGATAGAAAGGGGTGTAACGCAAGGATGTGTCTTCTCAACTGACCTGTTCAACCTATACAGTAAGGCAATTCTGAGAGTTTGGAAACCCTACTGGGATTTAGCATTGTGGTCAAACAACATAAGATACACAGATGACACAGTACTGATAGAAGAAAGGAAAAGAAATTACAAAATCTCCTACAAAAGGTAGCAACAAAGAGTGAGAAGAAGGGACTAAGCATAAACTACAAGAAGACAGAATGCATGGTCATCAATAAAAGGATGAGCCCAAAATATGATTTGCAGGTTGGGAACACTAGAATCAAGCAGACACAGAAGTTAAAATGTCTGGGAAGCATTTTGATAGAGGACGGCAAGTGTAACACTGAAATCTGTAGACATATATATATATATATATATATATATATATATAGAGAGAGAGAGAGAGAGAGAGAGTGGTGTTGCATTTTTACAAAACCATATGAAACATTTCCCTCTCTACTAAAAGACTTTTGTTTTCTCACAGGCGTAAGGTGTTGGCAATTTCTAATGGCATTGATGAACCTGGCTCCATCAAGTGGGACCTTGCTCTCTGTTTGCTGCTTGCCTGGATAGTAGTCTACTTTTGTATATGGAAAGGGATCAAAAGCTCTGGAAAGGTAAGTAGAATCAGTTAAATATATATATGTGTGTGGGTGTATGTGTATGTGTATATGCACACACATACACACACACAAATGTGCATGCAAGTATATACATATGTGTATATTATTTTACTCTATAACATAATAATTAATCATATTTATTTATAGTTTTGTACCATAATATTTCAGTTTGTATATAAAGAAATAATGGATTTTATTTTTTTTTATTCTGATATAGTTTTATCACTTCCAATATTATTTTTAGCAAATACCTGTATTTGAGTAGATGTTCTGTTTTATTCTAAGCCATATTTATTTCAACTACCATCCTGCATACTCAAGAAAAACTTATTAAAAACTTATTTTCTTTAATAAGCTTTGTCAAGTGTGCAGGACTGTAGACAAAATAAATCCTGCTTAGAATAAAATGGAGCCTCTACTCAAATACAGGTATCGACTAACCCTTCCTTTTTTCCGGGATATCTTTAACCCTTCCTTTCTGTTGTCAGTATTTTCTATTCAGTTTTTATAGCTAATTAATTAATTAATTAATTACTATAGCTAAATAGTGTCACAGTATATGAGAGAAGAGAGAATTCTGAAATGGCTTGGAGTAAACAAGAAAAGTTGAAGAAGAATACCAGAAAAGGTGTGATACTGCCAGGAAATGTGGGTAACTGGAGGGAGCTGACATGCAATGAATGTGGGACGACCTGCTCAGCACAGTGGGATTGAAAAGTCACAAAAGAAGCTATATACAGAGTTGAATTCAATTACACAACATATAGTATAACAACATACCATGAATGCAGAAAGATGAGCCAATCTGCTGGAGATCTGAAACAATAGATGAGGATACATTTTGAGCAATTAGTAGCTCTTATTGCTGGAAGAAATCATGTATATAACATATTTGATAAATGTGAAAGTTCATTGCCAGTCTGAAAAGCCCCATCTGTGCTGCTTACAGATGAAATCAATTCTGAAGTGCTTCAAGCAATAGTTATACTTGAGGATGTGGATGTCACCATAATATCTTATCATATATGAATATATATATATATTTATGTGTGTGGCTGTGTATATATATGTGTGCACATGAGTGTATTTATGTGTGTATGTGTATATGTGTGTGTATCTGTGTATATATTTATGTTGACTAATTCATCTATTTATATAGTGTCCTTAATCATTTTATCAAAATTTCATATCTTGTTATAGGCCAAGAAATTCTTATTTTCAGCACACAATGCACTGAAATAAAGAAAAAAGATTACATTCATGCATATTGTAAAAAATCAAAAACATTCCTTTCCATTAAAAATAAATAACACAACAGAAATCAAATTAACCTTGAGGTGAAGAAACACTCTTTGAAAGAAAAACAATATTACCAGGATAGTTCCTGAACACATGTAAACAAATGCATTAGGATTTCATATTCTTCATTTACTTTAAATAGGTAAATACCCCAAAAGTTCCAAAGATAGAAAATGGAACAGAAAGAGAAACAATACTTCACTTTGAAAGGGGCCTTCCTATATCATAGTTGTATTTGGATAAAGGGTTTCTTCAACCTTGATATTTAGTAACTGGATACAGCCATGAATTTGTTGTATCTGGAATTACAGGTAATAATTTGGGTTTGAATCTGGAGTGTTCACTCTTCCTGCAGGGTCAGGAATTTAAGCCAGGAGTGACAATGTGACGTGAACATAGAAATTTTTTACTTCATCTTATAAATTTTTCAATTTCTTAAGTAGGTATCACAGGGTCCTTATGACAACACCTTTAAAGAAAGTTATTGGATGGTAGTGATTTCCTACTTAACCAGCATATTCACAAGAGAGTCACAATGTCATTAACTCTGAAGTTATGTAGACATAGTGCTGAAAACATCAAAGGGGTCAAGTGACTGCTAGGTGATAGGCTAAGAAAATAGTGACATTAGAAAAATTTCTTCAGTAGAAGTGTTATGTCACACTTTTGAAATCTGAAAATTCCACTAATGTAATACAATTTGAAATCAATAAAAAATATTATTTTGACTCTTCTTTACACAAGTAAGTCACATATCCCATATGGACAGCCTATAAAAAACATCATTGTTCTTTGAATTACATTCTGAACATGAGCTGGTCAGAATATATCCCTGATAATGAAGTCCTGCAAAATGCAGGTATTCCAAATGTCAAGTGCCTGCTTAATATGCAACTTTGTTAGGTTGTAAATCTTGTACACATGACTGAGGCATGTATTCCAAAGCAGCTCTTTTATGGAGAATTAAAAGAAAAAGAACAGCCCTGTTGTAGGTCAAAACTAAGATTTAAGGATTTTACTCATTTGTTGCTGATCAAATTTAATAGAAGTAGATAGGTCTGGTTCATACTCCTACTTAGTCTTTTGAATAGGAGTAGAGGTTTATCCCTTGTTTCCTGTTTAGGATTAGGTGTCCAGTTCCTTCTAAAGTCTACTTCAACTCTATACATCTGACGTCTCTGCCTAAACACTGAAATTTATTTACTATTTCTTTTTTATTTAATTTCTTTTCTCAACAAGAGTAGATAGGTTCATTGATTGGCTGGTTCACATCCCTCCTTGGTCTTTTGAACAGGAGTAGAAGTTTATCCCTTATTTCCTGTTTAGGATTTCCAGTTCCTTCTAAAGTCTTCTCATTATCTTTCATTCCCAGCAACCCCTTGTGTCTTAGTGGCATTATCATCTTGCTTGGGATGAAATGATTAAAAAAAAATCAGTTTTTCTGAAAGAAAGAGATTGAGTGGAAAAACAAGTCTTGTGTCAAATCCATCAAAGAGTCACAAATCAAATTTGTTTCAAGGTATGTCCCATTTAAAGTCATATAGGACTGCATGTATTACATCAAAAATTTACTAATAATATAGGAATTACCATGACAGCTACATGCCAAACTTGCCATAATACCTACAATCTGTAAATATTACACCTACCTGAAATGTGCTACCTGCATATTCAGGTGATGTAACCATCTTTGTATCTAGCCAAGATAAGTCAGGTAAACTTGGCAATTGGGCACTGTGAGAAAGTAACTAGGACCAGAATAAATAGGTTTGAGTGTGAGCCTGAGACTATGAGCATGAAGAGAAAGGGTCCATCTTAGGAATGTAGTCTGACTATGACCCTCAGTTTCAAACATATTAGAGGCACAGGCCTCACCATAACTAAAAAGTTGATGAAATTCCAACATTTTCACTTGCCTATAAAACTGCATGATATGAACAATTAGGGTCAAAACACATGCATTAGAGACCATAAATTCACATTTACAGTGCATCATAAAGTTTGCAAATCAATAGTTAGTTTGAAAAGCCACATATATACTCCATGTGTGTGTGTGGGGGGTATTGGAATGGATATGTGCCAACATCTGAACTCCATACCTGTGGGCAAGTTTGTGGCTCATTTATTGTCCTCCACAACCAGATGAAATAGCACCAGCGTCAACTGTGATGACCTCACCTACACTGTACCCCTCTCTGAACAATCATGGAGATAGTATCATCATCAGAAACAACAGACAGCTGAATAATTGATATATGTATAGGTATATATAGACATATGTATAGATGATGTGTGCATGTAATATATATATATATATATTTGTAGGTCTGATGAATTGGATCGTGATTATGACTCCAATGTAATAAATTATAACCATGGAATATGAGTATTTGAGTCTTTTATATTATATTCTTACTCTGTCCTGGACATTGAGTTCTACCTGGATTCTATCCTCTTGAAATTTATGTATATATATATATATATATATATATATATATATATATATATATATATATATATTGACCACTGATATTATATATATATATATATATATATATATATATACAATGTTTGTGCCTATATATGTATTAATATATATATATATATATATATATATATATATATATATATATATATATATTATATATATATATATATATATGAATGATAATATAATGTTATGCTATATTTATTCATAAATGTGTACAATATCAGAGATATAGAGCATATGTAAATATAAAAGTGGACACTGAGGTCAACACCAAGTGGTGACAGTCTGTTTCATGCTTGAATGCAATTTTCAGGCCATATATATATATTTATATATATATATATATATATATATATATATATAAAAAGGTGCATATTATTTGTATATTTTAATTGGCATCTTCTTATTCTGTATGTCATATCTCCTCAAGATGTGGGCGATCATGGCTCTCCACAACTTCGTATTCTTTGTAGCTTTTAGTAAAATTTGTTTTTTCCCTATCCCTTCCAGTTCTTGTTCTGCCATCGATTTACACAAGCTCAATAGATAGGTTACTTGATTCTGTCTATCTTGTCTTGTCCTGTGTGTGTCAAATTATTAAGCCTTCTTTCCTCATTATGTTTCCTAGAAATTTCAACTGTTTTCTGTCTAATTCCAAGTATAAGTGTCCTTTTTGTTTCTGTTTCCCTTAAAACTTTCTCGTTACTCACATGTTCATTTCAAGGTATTCTCAGCATCTTTCTGTAGAACCACATCTCTGTCATCACAAATCTCTTTATCTGTGTGAAGATCATCCAGCATTCATTGCCATATAGATGAACCAATAATACATAACAGTTCAGTAATTTTTTCTTTGTTTCTAATGAAATTTTCCTGTTTCTTTAATACTTTGCTTATTTTTTAAGGCATTTTTCATTATTCTAATGTGCCTTCAGATTTCAATGTTATATTTTCTGTCCACTATTAAAACACTTCCGAGATATTTAAATTTTCATACTTGCTTGATTTTGGTATCTCCAATTTTTTTGCCTCTTGGACTGTCCTCATTATTGACAACCATACATTCTGTTTTCTTACAGTTGATGTTTAATCTTTTTTTCTCACTTTCCTTTACTCCCTTCTCTAGGAGTTCATGTATTTTCCTTTCTGTGTCTGCTTTCAATACTGTGTCATCTGTATATCTTATATTGTTAAGATTATTGTTAAAATAACAAAAAAGTTTTATAGCTATCATGAAGGGGGAAATCAAAAAACAAACAAAAGGACAGAAAAGTAAAAGTTTAACCAGTTTTCATTCCTCTCACAAAGTTCTATTGAGAACTGAAAACAATGTACACAGTGAATAAAATAGGAAATGCCAAAGACAGAATGTTATATATATTATAACTGTATATAAAGTATCAAAGGCTGATGATAGTCAGACCTAAAAGCCACTTTTTCTGTTTATAGAGTGAGAACTTGAAGGACTTAATATACATAGTCTCTAAAACCTTTAGATAGAAATACAAATGAATCCACCTCAATAATGATGTCTTGGTTATAGGATGGAGTGTACTGGTGGCTATTTAGAATATGCTCAGCTATTGCAGACCTGAATATATTGATGCATGTGTATAAATTATTTAAATTTCCTTTCTGAATATTACCTGGTATATATTGAGTAATTCTTAATTCTAACTTGTAATCCATTCTACTTATATAGTCAATGTCACATTGACATTTAAATTAGTAAATTACAAAATTGATATGGTGAGTAGGTAGAATATCTTAACATTGGTTGCACAGTAACGATAATATTAATAATTTTTCACACTAATAGTTGTTTCTAATTTTCTTAAATAATTTTTCTCATAGCATCAGTTCTCAATCCAGTATCTATGCTTAGGACACAAATAATTATTTCTGGCTTAATAGTAAGTCTGAGTGTTTCAATAAGGTCAAATTGGCAGCTAATCTAAAAAATGACCTACAAATGGCTTGTTAATTTTAATGCCCCCCCTCCCCCAAAAACTGCTCTCTTTTAATTGTTTGAAAAAACAGTTTTTTTTAACTTCCATCAGCATGGTTGATGCTAACTTCCAGAAAAGGAACTCATTGCATTTTCTTGGACTATTTTTTTTTCTGTTGACATGAAGTGAAAACTGTATATTGAATCACTTGCTAAGTCTGCAACTACAAAAGTTGGTTCACTGTGTTGTGGTAGCCATTTTTTTCTTGTCAGAACCTATCTTACATAAGTCTACTATTCATTTTTGCATTGAATATTGCTGCCACATCTGGCCTGGTGTTCCTGCTATAGATTTAGATTCTTGATAAAATACAAACAAGAATCTGCAATGTTATTGTTCCTGGCCTGGCATCTCAGCTTCAGTCCCTTTCCAACAGCTGTAATGTATCTTCTCTGTGCATTTTCTATAAGTACTTTCATGGTAATTATTCTGATGAGATTTACTCTATGGTATCTAGACTTTATGAGTAGTGCAGTACTAGATTAGCAAGAAGGATTCATCATTTTACAGTTAAAATGGCTAGATTTAACTGTATGTTTGATGCTAACAGTTTCTTCTATAACATTTCTTGCTTGTGGAACATTCTTCCAGCTTATTGATATTACATTTAAATTTTTGAAGATCAAAGTTGATTGGGAAAATCAACTTTGATTTTCAAAAATTTAAATGCAATATCAATCACTATCTTCTGTTTTCTTAATTCTTGTACTTTTATCATCCTCTCTCCTTAATAGTTGTTTTTTTCTCATATTCTGTAACACTCAATAACCTCTTGCGTCCTAGTGGCTTTATTGCCTTGGTTCTTCAAAAGTTTAAAAGCAATATCAATCGTTATCTTCTGTCTTCTTAATTCTTGTTCTTTTATTGTCCTCTCTCCTTAATAGTATTTTTTCTCATATTCTCTAACACTCAGTAACCTCTTGCATCCTAGTGGCTTTATTGCCTTTGTTCTTCAAAAGTTTAAAAGCAATATCAATCGTTATCTTCTGTCTTCTTAATTCTTGTTCTTTTATTGTCCTTTCTCCTTAATAGTATATTTTTCCTCATATTCTCTAACACTCAGTAACCACTTGCATCTTAGTGGCTTTATTGCCTTGCTTGAGGTGAAATGATTAAAAGTACACCATACTAACATTTGTTTATATATTTATAAGTGTGTGTGTGTATGTATATATATATATATATATGCATGTATAGCATGTGTGTGTGTGTGTGTGTGTGTGTGTGTGTGTGTGTGTGTGTGTGCATTTGGGCTGGTTGATTTTTAATTTTTTTAGAAATCACCATTGCAATAGTGCAATAGTGATTTTTAATGTAATAAGTTTGATGGGGTTTGATGTGATAAGTACTGACACCAAAAATTAGAGTTATAGCTTTTACCAGTATTTGAACATTTAGTTTTAAAGATCGTCTGAAAACATGTACAGAAATACCTAATTTCCACAGAATAAAAAATTTACTATTTCAAGAATAAATCCAAATGAAGTTGATATTTTTGTATTAGATACATTGAATGGAAAATATATTCAAACTAGAATTCTAATTATGAATCACCACAAGCAAAACACACAACTTTTTACTGTATTCAATAAGTCAGGACTGTAAAACAGTAAAAATTACAGAAAAGGCTAATCAATGAATAAAATCTTACACTGTTAAATCATAATCAATAAGAACAAAAAATAGATAGAATAATATTATTGGGCACAAATTATAAGACAAACTGTTTTAAATTTGCATTGTTTATTGAAAATCACACTAAAACTATTGCATTGTATAACATATTACATTATAATATATCTAAATTGTTCCATATAATTTCCCTTTGAAGTAAATGGTCTTACTTAATTACACAATGATTTAGTAATAATGTGCTTGTCTTATTTATTTATATAAAATTTGTGAATCTTCAGTATCTAATTTAACTGTTCTTTCTACATTTTTCAAATGTGCAGAAAATTTGGTAACTCCAATGTTCCATTCATTAGAACCTCTTGCAGTTCATTATTTGAAAAACTTTCTGCAAGCACATGTTCACAAACTTATTTTATGAGAGGTTAATCAAATTTGACCAGTGTGACACTTCAGAGTTGATGAATGTAATTTCTTTAATCCTCTTTTTTTGTTGGCTTGCTACTTTTGAAACAAAAATAAATATTTTTTGCTGTAAATTTTTTAATGCAACATTCTGTATTTTGGTTAACTGTTGATTTATTTTCTGGATCATGCTGAAGATATACAGTTGTTGGTGATGGAATTTATCTCTTATAATTTCAAACCAACTAGCTGCATATATTTCAATTATAAATTTTGATAGGATGTACAATTTATCATAAAGTTCTGGTAGATATAATGACAATATAGAATATAAAATTCAGTTATTAGAAGTAAATCCTACAGATTTCAGTTATTTAGTTTAAAATAGATGGTTCACACTTGTTCACAAGGAAATTGAAAATTTCTGGTTTCTTGAATAAAGCAGTAAAATATCAAAAGGGATGCCAGAAAAACAAGGAACATTTCTGACCCAGAATTTGCTCCAAGATATATTTGTCCATTGTATAGTCAAGTTTTTCTCTCCAGAATAGGTTTTATTAACCATATAAAGCACTATAGCCAAAGCAAACAAGTGAAATTGTCTGAAATTAATTGTTCCAATTGTCTATTTGTTGCCAAAACAAATACAAGTCTAAGAAACCGTTTGACAACTCATGAAAGAGCCAAGCAACAGATAGTTTAAGAAAGTGGTCGTGTTCAAAATCAAGTAGACAATCATCAAATATGCATGTATATGTCTATATATAATTATATATTTGTGTACATATATGCATATTTTCCTTATAACACATTTCTTTTTTTTCTTTCTTTCTGTACAGGTTATGTACTTCACAGCAACAAGTCCTTACATCCTAATGTTGGTGTTACTTATTCGGGGTGTCACTTTAGATGGTGCAGCAGATGGATTAAAATATTACCTTATTCCCGACTGGAGCAAGCTCCTCCGAAGACAGGTGAGAAATCTGGAGCTACACAGCCTTTCAGTATTTATTTGTTGTTATTTCTATTTATTTTATGAAAGATAATTGTAATTTAATCTGTGTATATTGCCCATCATTTTTGTCACAATTATAATGATTGTGTTAAAGATATTTTGAATGTATAAGTGGTGTAATGTATACCATCTCAGAATATACAATTGGCAAGCCAAGTTCAAACTGCATTATATTCACTTTCATGCAGTGGAGAAATATGAACACCAGTTAAACAATAACAACAAAAGTTGAATTAAATTATACTGGCTGTCAAAAATTTAAATTGAAAGCTTAGTTTCCCTGTATCATTAATGATTTTTATATAAAATTGTCACTGGTGATTCTTTTATTTCTTCCTGCTCTCTATAAATCAGACTGGGTCCATTGATAAAATCATTGTTAGTCTGAAGAAGTTCCTTCTGGGAAAAATAGTGCATGCTCATACTAACCCTGTAAATTTACTGCAGTTAATTGTTTATCAAAAATGCAGTCAAAATCTAAACACAAAAAAACGGAAAAAACTTTTTTTAAATTTGGGTCTTGAAATGTTTGAACCATACAAGACAATGACAAATCACTGGAACGAAAAACAGACAGTTGAAAATGTTCTAATAAATATGACACTAGTAGTACTTAGTGAAACCCAATTTCCTGTTTTGACCAGATAGGAGTAAGATATACTTTTTATGATCTTTTTTTTGTTTATCAGATATTGACTTTTCTATTAAAAATATTATGAGAAAACAAAAATCAATACTACTGTAGTTAATAACTGTTTAATAGTTTTAAAATTAAATATTACTGATGAATCAACTTGCACACTTTTTATAAACAATCTGCCTTGGAACATACTAAGATCATTAGCAAACATCTATGCAGATAATCCCACAGTTTAGAGAAGCACTTCCAAAAATCTAGATCTTCAGAGTTTTGCAGCTGATCACAACTCAGTAGGAAAAAAGACTGTAATATTTCATCATTACCAGTTGAACTTGGTATTTCATTAACACCAATTGAACTGTCATCAAAATGAATAGTTGCACTCTCAACAAGGCTCCATTCTTTGAACACTTATTGAGGCAAAAGTTCACTCCACAGCTCAAGTAGAATTTATACATTCATTCATTGTTAAAGATACCTTAAAAATGGTCAGCTTATTCTACTGCACCAAAAATTACCTGACTGCTTTTGCCATGCTTTATCTTTACTAGAGTCAGATGAAGCCAAAATGGTCCTATATCTTAGCTGAAATTGCTCACTTTCAAGCCTTAATAGAATTCAAAATCATTTGCATGATTTTGTAGGGGATGGGATGACTTACTTTCCACTCTACAGCTGCAACATTACAAGTATCTTGCTACTCTATTGCAATTTCTATGGCAAATGTTCAGATGGACTCCATATCTTAGTTCCACCAGTTCAGATCTTTATAGCTCAAACTCACCATGCTACATCCATGGATTTGAATCACTTACATTTCCTCTATATTTCAAATTTAAAGAGTAAGTTCTATTCACTGCTTTTTTTCAGAGATCTGTTACTTTATGGAACAAACTCTCGTATGGGTGGTTCCCTGAATGCTACAATTTTAACCTCTTTCAGGTTCAATTGCTATCTTTCCTCCTTATCCTCATAATCTTTACTTCCTTCTAACTACTCTTTGATTATATCACACATTTCATTTAATAACCTTTTACTATGTCTCTTGCATCTTGTATTGGGTAAACTTTAGTTTTAAAAAAAAGAAACTTTCCCTCATTTATAGCAGACAAAAGACTTGTATATGGTCTTATTATCTTTCCTAATTCACTTTCATGTGACTCTTTGAACATGCCGCTAACCCACATACTTTGTAACAAAACTGACTTAAATTTCCTAGAGGTCATTGTTGATGACAGTTATTTGGTTTGTGTTTCAGATATTTACCATGTGTTAATTCTCTGTAGAATAACTGCTTCTACTAAGGTGTCCAGTCTACCTCATTTGGTTATTGATAAGGAACTTTTGGATACCAGAATTATTAGCTTGCTAAAGAACAACAGTTTTATGTGTAAAAGACTGCCACTTGATGCTCAAAATTCTCCTAAGACACCTTTGAAAGAATCTGTCCAAAGTTTAACTATGACAGCAATATGTAGTCCAAATCTGGGAAGAGTACAAAAGAGTGGATAACTAGCATGTTTCCTACATGCTGAGCTTGGTGCTGATGTTGTGGCAGTATCTGATAAGAGTTACTTCCATAGTTTTCCAAATGCTTTGTTTGCTTTTTTGATCCTTTGGTGTATTTCAAAGTCAAAGGAATCATCACTGCCATGATAAATGAATGTATCTACTGCATCTAACCTTGAACCTTGAACGAAGATGTTTGATTCAGTATAGGGGTGACTTGGAGGAGGTGTATACACAAACCTGTTTTTTAAGAAAGTGATGGTAAACTTAAAAGCAGAGCATGCTCCAGAGGACAGATCCATAATTTCATGTCTTCATCAGTATAAGCAATGTGATATGTCTCATCAACATAGAGAAACTCCTGAAACAGGGTTTGAATTGTTTTTGATGTCATGATGGTATTATAAGATATAGGTCAACTGGCAAGCTTTTCAACATACATAGGTTTGCAGCAAAGAAAAGTTTTTTTTTAGTTTAGTGCAATTGATATGAAGGTATTTTAAACCACAGTAAAATAATGGGACCAGAATCACTCTCCTTGTGTATATCTCTTAATTAAAATATGAAATTATATGTATACAGGATCCATTATATAAATTGACATGTAGTATCCAATTTGGTTAAACGTATATTTTTAATTGCTTTCCATTTATGATATCTGCATTATAACATTGACAGTCTTACTTGGAGTATCATGAGTCTAAAGAAGTAAAAAACATAATGTACATCATAATAAATTCATAACTTACATTGTTAAAAATAATTCAAGGTAGTACTATATATTGTTGCATATTCCATACATACACATACACATATATACCATTTATACATAAAATATGGATTTATAACCATATCAACTTTCATTTATACGTCCAGTCCATCAGTTAAACTCCCCCACAACACTGCATTCATTTGTTGTGTGAACAACAGTAGCTCATAAAGCCAGTCATCGATTTGCATTTCTTGTTACATATATGGCATGTCAAATCATCTCCGGGTGGTGGAAGTTGACTTTGAACATCATCACTTCCAATATGATTTTTTATATGCCTTGTCAGGCCCAACCTGGACTTGCACATTCTAGTGCAGATGGGCATTCAAAGCATGCCATTAGGAAATCAATGTATGCAATAGACTGTTGGTGTTGGTATGATTTCTGGTGACTGAGCAGACCTGCTCTGGACAGCCTCATGGAAGATCTTGATGCCATCAGCAATACCAGCTCTCCAAGAAACCTAGTCTTCAGCTAGAGTCTCCCAGTTATCCAGACCAATATTGCAATTCTATAGTGACTCTTTAAGGCAATCTTTGTAACACACACACGTTCTTACCACAGCGCAGACAGCAGTACAGACCACTCCTTGGTGTGCTGCAAGATCAAGCTCCAGCCCAAGAGGTTCCACCACAGCAAGAAGCAGGGAATTCCTCGCATTGATGTCAGCAAGATGAGCCAGCCAGACCTTGTGCAACAGTTTGTCAAAAGGTTTGAGAATGAGCAGGCAACCTTGCAGGACATCATGCACGACACTGCCTTGGCCACCTTTGAGAGAAAGACCTCAAAGTCATATGACTGGTTTGAGGCAAAGTGATGTGAACTGATGTACCAAGCTCATATTTATTAATGGTGATGGCTGGTGATGTTTCGGTACCTTGTCCCAGTATGTTTGTCTTTTTCAGGCTGATAGTCAGCCCGAAGTTTCTGCAGGCCTGGGAAAAATGGTTCATCAGTGACTGAAGTTCACACTGGGTTTGAGTCACTACTGTCACATCATTGGCAAAAAGCATGTCTCTGACAAGGGCTTCACATACTTTGGTCCTGGCTCTGAGGTGGGCAAGATTGAACAATCCGCCATCTGATTGCATACACAGGTAAATCCCTTCTCTTGATGTGCCGAATGCATGCTTCAGAAACAGCGCAAAGAAAATCCTGAAGAAAGTGGGAGCAAGGACACAGCCGTGTTTGGCTCTACCATCACTGACAACCTCTCCTTAGACACAGAGATTGACAAGAGAATCAGGAATCTGGGAATAGTATGGCAAGTTAAGGTGCCCAACACTGAGGTCCTGTCTCGAGTAGGTTTGCCCAGCATGTTCACACTGCTCAGACAGCATACACTCCATTGGTTTGGCCACATCCATTGCATGCCAGACAGTTGCATCCCCAAAGACCTCTTGTATGGAGAGCTGGCCACTGAAAGGAGACCCACCAGGCAGCCACAGCTGTGGTACTGTGATGTCATGAGACACAACATGAAAGCTGTGGACATCAACACTGAGTCCCAAGAGAGCCTGGTAGCCATATGATCTGAATGAAGAGGAACCCTGACCAAACACCTTGTCAGGGGAGGAGAAGCTAATACAAGTCATCATGGAAAGACGGGCCCGCAGAAAGCAAAGTGACAGCTCCAAGAGACCAGAGACAGAGCACACATGGGACCTCTGCAACAGAGATTGTCACTCCTACATCGGCCTCTACAGTCACAGATATCAATGCTCCAGCCAATTAGGATGCTACCCATGGTCAACAAAGTTTTGGCTTGTGCTGCTGTCTTTTTCTCATTTCTAATACATTAATTGTTTTGGCATTCTGTCATCTGCCATCCAAATATCATGGCTTGTCCATTTCAGTCTGTATTTGTGTATAATTACTTCCACAGAGAGTGAATTGGCCCATTGTAGAACAACAGTATCAGAGGTGTGAGACATCCAGTGAATTTCAAGCACAGACTGAAGGCATCGCTGGTGAAAACATTCCAGTATCTTCAGATGTCTGCAATAGACTATCCATGTCACACATGAATATAGCAGAGATGACATAATGCAGGCATTATATATTTTAATTTTTGTCTGCTTTTTTATGTCCTTCTGACTCCAGGCACAGAACCTGAATGCTGCAAATGCATTGGAGGCCTTCTTAATTTGTAACACTATCTCATCCTGAAGTGAGCAGTGGCAGTTGAGGGTGCTACCAAGATATACAAATTTGTCTACTACCCCAAGCATACTACTATCAACATAAATTGATGGCTCTATATACTGAATTCCTTGGGTAGGTTGATACATCACCACTGTCTTGTCAAGGCTGACAGACAGTCCAAAAGCCTCACATGACCCTGATAATTGATCCATGAACTCCTGTGCATGCTGAATTGTATGTGAGACCAGGTCACAGTCAACAGCATAGAGAAGGTTGTGCACTAAACTAAAAAAGACTTTTGTCTTTGCTGCAAACCTACGTATGTTGAAAAGCTTGCCAGTTGACCTGTCTCTTATCATAATACCATCATGGCAGTCCCCAAACTCATCAAGCAGTACAATTGCAAAGTAGATAGAGAACAGTGTAGCAGCCAGAAGATCCTGCTTGTCTCCATTTTCAACCTTGATGGACCCTGTAAGCGTACTTATGAGAAAGTGTGTGTGTGTGGGGGGGGCTCAATTTTGAGAGGATTTTCCAAAGAGCAGCAGAATTAACTGTCAAAAGCCTTCCTCAGATCTACAAATATTTGACAACAGTCCAATTGTTGTTCACAGCTCTTTTCCTAGATTTGTCATGCTGTGAAAATCATATCTGTTGTCCCTCTGTGTTGGTGGAAACCACACTGTGACTCAGGCAGTATATTGTCAACTATTTTCTGGTTTAATCTTAGTAGGAGAACAGAGGCTAAAATCTTACCTGCATATATATTCTTCTTCAAAGAGTTCATTGAAGATGTATCATTGATTTCAGTAAGTCATTTTAGTGATTCCGGTGTTTTGTCTAGTTGCTGGTTTAAGAACAAAATTCATTTTGGCCTTCACTAGGGCATGATCAGGCCAACAATTTGCACCATGCATAGATCTAACTATAAGGATATCCTGCATATCTTTCTTGCAGACGATGACGTAATCAATGAGATGCCATTTGTATGAACAGGGATGCATCCACGTAGTAACATGATTGCCCCTGTTCTTGAATTGGGTGCTGGAGATAAAAAGATTAAACTCAGTACAGAGTTCAAGAAGCATTAAACCATTGGTGTTGATTTTCATGACACTATATTTCTCCTAACTACTCCAGGTCTCCCTATCTGCACCAGCTCAGGTATTGAACTCACCAAGAAGGACAATCTTGTCATCTTTTGGAATCATATTGAATATACTACTCAAAGATTCATAGAAGTGAATCTTTAAAATGTTGGTACTGTCCATTGTTGGAGCTTAGGTACTAATGATTGTAGTGTATCATGGTCCATTCAGATGTAGGCGAATGGTCATTAAAATCTCACTGACTCCTTTAGGAAATTCAGCAAGTTTTGGTACAAGTGTTCTACGTACAGCAAAACACACACCAGCTACTCTATCCTCCTCAGTGCACTTTCCCTTCCAGAAGAAAGTGTAACCACCTCCAACTTCTTGAAGTTCAGCATCACCAGCTAAAAGAGTTTCTGAGAGAGCAGCTATATCTATAGAATATCTATATACAAACATACATATCAACATATATATACACATACACATACATACACAGACATATACCCATACATACATACATACACATACACATGCTCACATATATTTTTATATTTTTTTATTTCATACATACATGATCCATATACCTACCGCTTTACATGTAAGTATAGAAACTACATGTACATACACATACATACCTATCCACATATATACTTGTATATCCCCATATACCTCCTTATGCACACATACATGCTTATGAACTTATAAACATGTCCATACTTATATGTACACATACACATTTTGGATATACTTATACCCAAACATGTGCATATACAGATATATACATACACATACATATATATATATACATATACATATCCATACATACATATCCACGCATATACACGCCTACACATACCCATATAAAAACCATATTTCTATATATGTACACACATGCACATACATATACCCATACATCCATATATGTATCTCTCTACCCAGATGTATGCACATATAAACACATGCACACATATATATACATATATGTATACATATATATAGGCACACATATACACATATATTTTTATATACACCTACTTACACATACACACACATGCATATATACATACATATACATAGATAGATAATATTAGTGGTCAATATATATATATATATATATATATATATATACATAAATTCCCAAGAGGATAGAATCCAGATAGAACTCAATGTCCAGGTCAGAGTAAGAATATAATATAAAAGGCTCAAACACTAATATTCCATGGAATATTACATATATACACATCCACATACGTTAATTTTATAGATACAATTCATGTAAGTAAATACTCTCTTTTTAAATAAACAGTATTAATTACATTTACCAACCTGAATGTTTGAGAAATTTCATAGAAAATATGTGTTCTCCAAGGGGATTCAAACCTGTATTCCTATATGGAAACTTTCATTTGATCTGATGTGGTATACCATAAACAAAAAATTAAATAATTGTTGGACTTAATCGATTTCATTATATATATATTGGGTGTATACTTTAGATACATGTATGACATTGTTTTTTATATTTGGAGTTATTGTATTATTTGTTATATATGTATATATTTGTTATTTATTAATGTATTTATAAACATGAGTATATATTTGTATGTGTATATGTATGTATATGTGTATATGTATATGTATGTATGTATGTATGTATGTATGTATGTATGTATGTATGAATATATGTCACCCCTATTTATGTAGATGTATGTAAATTCTTGGTGTATATGTGTTTATTGTGTTATTTGCTTAATTAGACTTCTTTTAATTGTAAGTGTCATTATTACTATTTATATATTAAAAAAAATGGTAAAAAATATAAGTTTACCAAATTTGGTACTACACATTAGATAATATAAAATGTCTCTTGTATATATGTGTGAATATATATGGATACGGAGGCTTACATGAGGTTTGATATGTAAATTTGAAATCTTAGTAGATATATACTTGATTGTTTGTGTCCCGTTAATTATACAATCTATTGTTATGACTACTATTTTTATTTTTAAGACCATTATTTATTTTTGTATTTATTATTATTATTTTTATTAAGACTATCATCAGTAATTTTATAATTAATATTATAGAAAATTTTATTATTTTTTTGTTATGTATATATATATATACATAGATAGATAGATAGATAGATAGATAGATAGATAGATAGATACAGATATATAGACATTTATTTATTTATTTTAAATGAGATCCTATTTTTAGATTAGATTTGAAATTTTTAGGAAAGATTTACATAATTTTTCAGAAAGTTCTTAACTACACATTATTATTATTATTATTATTAAAAACCCTGTTTTTTCTTTCTTTTTCCTTTTATCTTTCTTTTTTGAAAATATGAATACATAAGTGTCATAATTGTAACCAGACAGAATATAATTTTGATTACACACAAAAATATCCCTTCATTTCATTGTCCTTTTCTTTGCCTTTTCTTTTTTATGTATTTTCAAATGTCAGCATTGATATAACTATTTCTTTCCATATTGTGTATCTAAATTAGGTTCCCATGCCTACAGCCCAAAAAGTCACTTTATAAAAATAACATCTATTCATCTCACATTCAATTTTTAAATATTTTCTCAATTTCCCCCTCTCACTGAATACATACTATCTCTTTCATCACTCCACCCTTCCACAATCTTAGATATAAACCTTTTTCCTTCCCCTTCCACAAAGTTAGATCTGCATATTTACATAAATTTCTTTTTCAGGCCTGGAGAAATCTTTTCCATTTTTATTTGTATTATGAGATCTGAAGAGTTGAGGTCAATTTTCTGACCTCATTGAAATAAATATAACGCCATGGTGTTTTAAAGGTTTGTGTTTTTACAATGCAAATTATTGCTCTGTCTCTCCTGGATCTATATCCTTTTTGAAATATCCACAGTAATATATATAATATATATATATATATATATATATATATATATATATATATATATATTCTTATATATATATTTCTTATATTTTCTCTTAAAGTTTTATAATAAAAAAATATACAAATAAAGTAATGCTTCTAAATTTTTTTTATTTTTATTGCCTTCTTCTACAGGTCTGGGTCGATGCTGGCACACAGATCTTCTTCTCATACTCAATTAGTCTTGGCACGTTAACCGCGCTTGGGAGCTACAACAAATTCCACCATAACTCCTACAAGTAGGTATTCTTTGGATTTTTGGAACCAACATTCCCATGAAAAAGATGAAAAGAACGACCATCTCTTTTTCCTTCTTAGCTCAGCCCATGTCTCTGTCACACTCAGTTTTACTTTATTTTGTGCCAAGCATTTTAAAATGTGACTTCCCCAGTAGATAGGAGTGTGGAGCTAATAATAGGGTAGACTATTCATTTTAAATCTGTAATAGTACAATGATGATTAAACATCCCTTATACCTGGGGTGTGGAAATAATGAGGTAGGTTGGATCATTTTGAAGCCTGATAGTACAAAAACTATTAAATACTCCCAGCCTCCTTTGGGTTTGAATATAGTAGGGTAAACTGTATCATTATGAAAGCTTGATAGTGAAATATATGATTAAACACTTGCTATAATTGGGGGTTGGGAAATAGTAGGGTAGGTTGAACCATTATGACTTTGTTGTGGAGAAATGCTAGTGTGGCTGGATGATTTTGAAGGCTTGATAGGCCTAGTAAAAATTCATTAATTTATCTCCCTGTCCTTCCAAGTAAGTAGGGTAGCAATTTAGATGATCATTTTTAAGTTTAACTTAAGAAGTGAAATGCCATGAAACTATCCTGTTAAGAAGGTGAGAGTGGAAATATAACATATGGTGTGGGTGGCAAAAAAATGTAAGCTGTGGGAGGTGTTGCTCAGCTATGATTGAATGCTAATCTGTGTATTTTTTCTCTTCCTTTCTTTCTTTCTTTCTTTCTCTAGAGACAGCCTCCTATTTGCAATTGCTAACACATTTACTAGTTTCCTAGCAGGATTTGTGATTTTCTCTGTGTTGGGCTTTATGGCGAAAAGACAAGGTTTAACTGTGGATGAGGTTGCCGAATCAGGTAAGTGTGTTATGTAAGTGTACAAAAAATATAAATGTGTATTATCTAAACATGTAAAGATAAAAAAGAACATTATCTAAGGAGAGTATGTTATATAAATGTATAACAATAGAAATGTTATTTGAATTTATAAAACCAAATGTGTTCATTGTGTATGGTATTCATCACACTTACCTCAATTATAATTATCATTTAAAGTGAAATAATTATACTTGATACTGAATGGTAATTTTCTGCAATAACTGGTGGTGGTGGTAATAATAATAATAATAATAATAATAATAATAATGGTGGTGGTGGTGGTGGTGGTGATGATAATGATAATAATAATAATAATAATAATAAGAAGAAGAATGACTGGTTGGAAAAGATTGTAGTAGACTAATTGAAGAGATTCCTGGAAGTCCATGCCTCAAGGAGATACAAAAAATTGTTCTGACAAGTACAGCCCACACTTTACGAAGGGCTTTATCTATGCTTCAAAACTAAAACATCCTATCATGAAGGAACTTTTTCAGAAATGTATTTCATCTATTTAAAATCCTTTTTTCTTGGTGAAAGCTACAGGAACAATTATAAAAATTTTCTTCAGATGCTCTATAAATATAGTAAATATCTTCATTTAATATTTTAATATCTATAGAACAATAGGTAAATTATTCCACCTTAGAAAATTTTCTACAAAAACAAATACTACTAATGAATCTAGTTTGATAAGAGCTCTATTTTATGTTGATGACTGATTTGGTCACCTATACAGTCAGTGATCTGCAGTACTTAATGATCAAATTCAATGAATACTCCAAAATGTTTGGGATTCATATAATCTTGGATAAATCTGTGGTGATGTATCAGTCTATGCCAACTAATTTGTATCATGGACTGAAAACTTTCCTTAACAACATTATGCTAAAAGTTGTTGACAAATTTCTATATTTTGGCAGTACTTTGAATCACTTTTGTTGTTTGGATGATGAAACCACAATCTTCATCCCAACAACTATTCAGGCATTTAAGAATTATTGCATTTAAGTTGTGTTTGGGCAAAGAAAGGTGTTAAAGTTAGTACTAACATTTTGTTTTATAGATTTGATTTGTTTAATGGCATATCAACACCTTTTGTGTCATTTAATGCTGAAATTTAATTTTCTTATGAGCTTTGAAGTAATAAAAATATAAAATATATTATTTTGCTTTCACAAGTGAATATATGGTAGATGATATATTGTATGTTGGTAATTTTATTATAAATATATTTTGTACATAATTTTATACTTTCAGAGTAAAGTTATGTTTTTAGATATATAGTTTTTAGATCATAAAATGTATCGTTGGTAATTTTTGTTAAATGTATTGCTGGTAATTTCACTACAAAAATGTATTGTTGATAATTTTACTCTAAAAATCTATTTTTATATTTTTTTTAATGTTGCATTGATCTGATTTTCATTTTGGCCTGAATATTTAAGAAATTTTATTAGAAGAAAATATTTCTTGAATATTCAGGCTGGTAGATGATAATAGATAAATATACTGTTTAATAAATAAACAGAGCATCTACTCAAATATAGGTAGCCACTAAAAATAATGTTTAAGTAATAAAATATGTCAGATTAATAAAAGAAAAATCTATTCATATATATATATATATATATGTGTGTGTGTGTGTGTGTGTGTATATATATATATACATATATATAATTATTTATTTAAAAATTATAACATAAATATGTTATAAAATCACTACAAAAATAGCCATTTTGTTTCAACACCTCTGGTGTCTTATCAAGTGAAGATGTTGGATGTAGATTATAGAATAAAGGTTTTAAAAGGTTCAAATTAATTAACCACCCCTCGTAAGGGGAAACGCTGTTACATGAGCTGAAATGACCAATCAAAATACAAGTATACGAGAATTCAAAAAACTTGACAACGAAGTAAGGTTATAATATCTATTAAATGCTTTAAATTTAGATTTAAATTAAAATAGAATTTATTCTAACTAATAAGTATTAAATTGTATAATAAAATTTGAAATTAAAATTAAAAACTACCCATTTCAAAAATGTAAATTTAATCTATATTAAGTTTAAAATTTTAAAATTATTGTGGAAAAAAGAAAAAATACCTATGTTATTCTATTCATTTTCTTTCTGTTAAAATTACGTTGGAATAAACATTAAGATTGACTGCCCTTAACTTAATGACAACATGGATACAAGTGTATATGACATCTTGCGAAAGACAATACAAACACAATCAGATAATAATACATAAGCACGCAGACATATTTAGATATATACACACACAAAAATGTGACAAGACAGGAAATATTTGCACAACCTTTTACAAAAAAAAAAATTTAAACCACGCACATACACAATGAAATGTGCATGCAATTTACTATACACAGACACTGAAATAGATACGTACATATACCCACATACATTGACATAGACACTCTGATATAACACTCAAGAAAGATTCAAGATTAAAGGTGTTATTAAACGAATGCTAACCACATATTAAAATATAACTTATACAGGCCAATATACATAAATAAAAATAGTCTAATAGAACAGAGAAACAAACAATATTGTTTGTTTCTCTGTTCTATTAGACCATTTTAATTTCTATTTAATAGATTTAATTGTTATTATCATTGCACCACCATTAGTAATCACTTCTACCACTTTACAATAATTATTAGCTACTAATATTATCATTACCGCCAACTCCCCAACGCCATTACTACCACATCACATCTACTATTAACATATAAATCCACTATAATTATTAACATAAATTTCACCCCCTCCCCCCAGCATATTTAATACCACCAAATAAAAACCAATAAGATCAGAGAAAATTTCCAAATGTAGGCATGAGAATAAATACCTATTATCTAAAAAAAAATACAACACCAACAATCACTTTTTAGTTCAAGCTACAACCACAATAATTACATTTATTGTTATTATCATTCTCCAACCACCATTACTAATCACTTCTACCAATTTACAATAACTATATTAGCTACTTATATTATCATTGACACCAAGCCCTCAACAACATTATTACCACATCACATCTACTAAACTCGCTATAATTATTACCGTAAACTACTCTCCCTCCACCCCCAGCATATTTAATACCACCATATAAAAACCAATAAGGATTACAAACTGCAATTTCTACCAGTTACATATATGCAGTCATCATAAACAAGAAAATAACCAGCTTTAAAATAATAACAAATCAACCTTAAAAAATTAAAAATAATAGCAATTTTTACATATCATAATTTTACACAGACCCCACCACATGTATATATGTGCATGCGAGGTAATATTATTCAGCAAAAGAATAGAAAAATGCTCTGATTGCTGACGTATACATTCACAAGACATTCACAAGAAATTTTCGCTACACTTCTGATCTTTAAATCTCAACATACAACACATATACATACATATGTCAAGTCCCATACTGTCCACATATGTTTATGTCTGTATGAGCTCCAGTGGACGAGCGAGTGTGTATGTGTGTCTGCGTACCTCAATGGGTGTGCGGACATGCATCTATGTTTGACATCATGACAATGATTTTCGCCCCCACTTCCATAATAACACCAATACACACAATCTACATAAATCCAAAATTGTTTTAAATTAATCAGGTTGTCTGATGATGGCAAAAGCATGAAACCCAGGGTCACAAACTCACATCAATCCAACCAAATATGTTAGCTCTATCTCTGATATGGAGCGCTTTCTAATAAGTACCATGCATATAATATATAAATAATGATATATATAATATATATATATATATATATATATATATATATATATATATATATATGGTTATATTTATTTATACACACACTTTTCTCACACACACACACATATATATATATTGTCATCCACAGACAGACTGTTTCGTTGTATCACAGCTCATATAAATCATAAATATCCAAGCAGCACAGGTTTTGTACACATGGAATAAAATTCCAATAACCAAAAACACTGCCCTTAAAAAAGTATTTATTCAAATTTATAACATATACATGTTATAAGATCACTACATGTATATACTATAAATCTGAATAAATACTAAATCATAAATATAGATAATATGAAAGTATATCTATAAAATATAGAAAAAATGAGTTATGCATAATAAAGACATGATTATATGGGACATAGCAGTAAATTGCACTTTGTTGTAAAAGATAGCAAAGTTGGAGAGAAAGAGATGTAGTGATAAAACCAATGTGTATAGCCATTTTTTTTATATAATATAGATCCTTAATGATTTACAACTTTGTTCAACAGTAGATTTTTTGTTGATAAATAGAATATATCTGCTTATGACTGACAGAACAGTTGAAAGTACTAGGATTCATTCTTTCAATCAAGTTAACTTAATCTACAGATAATTCATTCATAAATTTCCATCTAATATAAGACATTTAATTCAACACCAAAGGAAATTAATCAAGCATAACTGTTATTCTTTATCTGTTTTATTTCACAACAGCTGTATAAATGAGAATTTGCTACCTTAGTATGTGTTATTTAAATTATATAACCCAGGAGAACATACAGATACCAACACATTAAATTACAAAATAGTTTCATCACAAGATGTGTGAATGATGAAATTAAAAAACTTAATGTCAAGATTAAAAAAAATCAAAGAAACTAAAAAATCTATGACAACTTCTGCACAATTTGATGAAATCCAACAAAATCTCTCCACAATAGTCAAATAAGATGACATGCACAAACTAACTACACAAAAACAGCTGTATAACTTATACAAAAATACCATTTTTTTTTATCTAACTATCCAAATAATTACAAAAACCTCTTTTAATACACCATAAAGATTTTCTCAACCTGGAACAAAACTGCTATCTATGTAAATATAATTTTCTCAGATCATTAGTAAACATGTATTCTATGTAGTTGATACCAGAGTTTATGAAAGCACCTCAAAAAATCTAGATGATCTGAGGCTGGCAGCTGATCTTCTCTCTGACCTAGCTGAAAGCTCAATCTGGGGAAAAAACTGGATCCTATTTTTGATTTGTGACATTGTGTTGTCTTGCCAGAAATATTCATCAGAGGATGGGTGCACTGTAGTCATAAATTGAGACACATGGTCATTTACAATATCTAGGTAGACTGTGAGATTTAGACAACTTTTTATTGGTACCAAGAGACCAATGTATACTAAAAAATATTCCTCATGCCATTCCATCATTACTACAAGCATGAACTGTTGATACAAATCTGGATGGATCTATATTTTTATGTTCTGGCTCCACCATTCAAATGTCACAGCAGAAATTAAGACTCATCAGGCCAGGCAACATTTTTCCAATCTTTTATTGTCCAAGTTTGATATTCCTTAGCAAATTGTAGCCTCAGTTTCTTGTTCTTATCTGAAATGAGTGGCACATGGTGTGCCCTTCATTGTAACCCACCTGCTTCAATTTTCAACAGATGCATTCTGAGATGCTCTTCTGTATACCTCTGTTGTGTTAGTGCTACTGTTTACTTTCTATTAGCTTGAACCAGTCTAGCCATTCTCTTCTGACCTCTTTCATCAACAAGGAATTTCTGCCCAAAGAGTTACCATTCACACAAATGTTTTTCTTTTTCTGACTATACTCTGTAAACTCTAGAGACATTTGTGCATGAAAATCCTAGGAGATCAACAGTTTTAGAAATATTGAGACTTACCCATTTGGCATCAACAACAATACCATGTTCAAAGGCACTTAAATCACCATTTTTTCCCATAAAAATGCATGAAATAAAATTTATCAGTCTCTATGACTATGTTTGAGTGTCTATATTCATTAAACCACTGCTACATTAAAAATTTGCATAAAAAAATATTTGGTCACATGTACTTAAGTGGCCATTGAGTATATATAGTATAATAACATAATATGTATAAAGTTATATTTGCATTTATGCTTTTATGCTTATGTGTTCAGTATATATATATATATATATATGTATATATAGATAGATAGATAGATAGATAGATAGATAGATTTCGCAGACAGTACTGTTTCACTGTATCACAGCTCCTCAGTGCGACTAGACAGCCGAATGCCTCAAGCTAGGACAGAAACCCAACCGATTTGGTGTCAGTCAGAGTTTCTACCACTGAACTATCTTCACTCACCAGAGAGAAACAGCTACTTCTAGCATATTGTTTTTTACAAATGTAAATAAATACCAATCAGACAGAGTGCTCCAAATTCATTTTACGGAAGAGCTTTGCATTAGTGCAGGTGGCTGTTGTTAGCTTATCCTTCAAGAATGCTCAATTGAAATATATTTTCAAGATATTCACACACACACACATTTATTACAATAACATCTTATAGCACCAACAATAAAATTATCTTTTTTGCTTATTCTTTGCAGGGCCTGGTTTGGCATTTATCGCATACCCTGAGGCGGTTTCCCAAATGCCAGTTGCTCCACTTTGGTCAGCCGTGTTCTTTGTTATGATTCTTCTTCTTGGCTTAGATAGCCAGGTAAGTGAAAATTTTCTTGTATCTGAGGCTCACATAAATATATATCTGTAACATACTTGTGGAAAACACAACCATAGTATCCACATGTAAAATATGGCTAAAAATAATGGAAATATTTATAATAAAAAAAAAGCCAACACTCATTAAGACAGCATGCAACTGTAGTTGTGATAGAGTTGGTGGAACAATATATTTTGATTCATTGGTTATGTCAGAAAGGTACACACTTCTATTTTTAAATATTTTACAACCCTTTTGTTTCGTGTTGGATATGAAATAATTAGGGTATTGGAGGAGCTTAAAAGTATTTTCAATATGTTTCTCCTCTTCATGTAAATATTGAGGGCTACAATTTCTTAGTGCTCTTAAATAGAATCCAATGATTATTCTGGATTTTATTTTGTTGTTATGATGAGAATAGAAATTTATGATATCATTTTTATTATTTGATTTTTGATGGACACTTAGTTTTAGGCTATTATCACTACAGTGTAACATGACATATAGGAAATTTAAAATATTATCTGTTTCTATTTTTGTAAGTGAATTCTATTGTATGTTTGACTTTGTCAGGTAAAATAATTTTGCGGGGATATATTAAATTAATATATTAGAGTGACATCAATATATCGGAAATATGTTGATTGTTTAGGTAAAATATGTTGGAGATGACCAGGTTCAAGAAATTTTAAGAAAATACATGCACAGAAAATAAATGTATAGAAAGTGCTTTAATTACAAGATCATCCACAGTAAATTTACATAAATATTCTTATGATATTTTGCCTTTCTTTGCAGATCTTCTATTATGACAGTGTGGGATATTTAATAAAAAAGTGATAAAAAAACTTAAAAAAGGAAAAAGAAACTAAATGAAATTGGTTAGACTATATATCAAAACACATTTACAAAATATTTTTTAACTTAAATTTAAAATTTCAGTGTCCCCTCTTCTTTGTGCACATGTGTAATTGCATCAATATAAACATACACAATGAAGGCCTAAAGGATGAAAACATGGCACAAAAAACTTTTACACTTTCTCTCATATATATATATATATATATATATATATATATATATATATATATCCAGGTAAAATGAGAGCAAATGGAGTATAATTCCACTGTACGTAACATTTAATAGAAAAAAGAGGATCAATACAGGACTTCTAGTAGAGCTAAATATTATTTATTAATTAATCTTTTCACATGCCAGTGGTTTGACATTGCCTGAGGAGACACATTTTGGTATTGAAAATGATTGTAATCATGTAGCGATTTTAACATTTTTGTTTTAATATCCTAAAAAAAATAAATATATATATATATATAAAATGTATATATATATAAATATATATATATATATATATATATATATATATATATATATATATATATATATGTGTGTAATTTTATATATATTATTTATATATTATATATATATAGTACTTATTGGAATGCACTCAATCTCAGTGATAGAGCTAACATATTTAGTTGGATTGATGTGAGTTTGTGACTCTGGGTTTCACGCTATTTGTGATCGTCACACAAAATTTTAAAATTTTGGATTTATATATGGCTGTGTATATTGGTGTTTTTATGGTAGTGGGAGGAAAAATTGTCGTCAGAAACTCACTTATACTTACGCAAACATGCATACACACATGTTCACTCATTGACATACACAGACATGCATGCTCACTCATTGTAGCTCACACAAACATAAACATGTGAACAGTGTGGGACCGGCCATATATGCATATACATGTGTCATTGCTTACATATGTATGCAATTGGTTGCTGTATTCAATGTTGCAATGTGTGGCGAATATCTTTCATCAGTTGGTATGTCAACACGCAGACCGTTCATCTATTTTGTTCGCTGAATAATGTTTTCTTGCACACATGTATATACGTATGCACACACATTCATATATCTATCCGTCTGTTTTTTTTGTTTTTTATGATGGGGTCTGTGTAAGATTATGGTAGGTAAAATTGCTATTATTTTTAATTTTTTAATGCTGTTTTGTTATTATTTTAAAGCTGGTTATTTGCTTGTTTTGGGGGGATTACCCATATGTAAATAGTAAAAACTCTCATTTGTAATACTTATTAGTATTTATGCAGTGGTATTAATTTTGTTGGGGGTGGCGGAAGTAAGTATAATTGGGCTGATATGGTAATTGTAATTGTGATGCAGTGGTAATTGTGGACTAATGCGGCAATGGTAATTGTGATGTGGTAATAATGGTGGGGAGAGCAGGTGATGGTAATAACAATTGTAGCAGCAAATAGTTATTGTAAAGTGGTAGAAGTGATTGTAGTAATGGTGGTGGAATGGTAATAATAATTATAATTATTTTGATGGTAAATTGAACTAGAAAATAATTGATGGTGTTATTATGTCAGTGGTTTCTCTTTTCATATTGTGCATATGTAAATGGTAGAAACTCTAATTTGTAATACTTATTAGTATTTATGCAGTGGTATTAATTTTGTTGGGGGTGGCGGAAGTAAGTATAATTGGACTGATACAGTAATGATAATTCTGATGCTGTGGTAGTTGTGGACTAATGCGGCAATGGTAATTGTGATGCGGTAATAATGGTGGGGAGAGCAGGTGATGGTAATAACAATTGTAGCAGCAAATAGTTATTGTAAAGTGGTAGAAGTGATTGTAGTAATGGTGGTGGAATGGTAACAACAATAATTATAATTATTATGATGCTAGAAAATAATTGATGGTGTTATGGTGTCAGTGGTTTTTCTCTTCATGTTCATTGGGTCAATGTTGGTTTATGTAGTAGTATTGGTTGTTTCTTTTTTTTTTTTATCCGTTTGGCATAAATTGTGATCATAGGTATTTGTTTTCATGTCTGCATTTAGAAATTATTTCTCATCTTATGTTTAGTAATTTCTTTTGTTGGACATGAGAAATTATTGCAACCTTTTTGTGTAGGCAAAGTAGGCATTTCTTTGTAATGTTGTTGCAGGCAGGTGCTTTTTTCAATATTTTCCAGCTTATTCTTTGTGTAATATTTCTGTCTTTTAGATGCCATATGTATGTGGATAGTGTAGTGCTGTTTGAGTATTTTCTATTGGAGAATGAAAGATTGTGGTTGTTTTTTCTTTTCTTGAATGGTCCCTCAGTGGCACCGATGTCGTACATTGTGCTGTTCTTTGCACTTACCTTGGCTTTATATATTATATTCGTTTGTTGGCAATTTTTTTGGAGTGGGCATGTTGTTTTATTTCTGCAGTTGCATTAAGGTTCTTTGGTTGCATTATTGCAGGTTGTTACTTTTTTGTTGTGGCTTTTTATTATTTGTGTTATATTTCTTGTGCAGCTGTAACTGACTTTAACATTATTTTTGTTGAATATTTTTGCTAATCAGTTTGTTTCAGGGAAGTGCTTTTCTATTAAGTTTAGGAATGTCCTTCCTATATTTGTTTTGATAGTTTTGTTGTATAGTGGGTTAAATGAGATAATGTTTCTTTTTCTGTTTTTGTGTTTCGGTTGTGGAGGTGTGTATTGTAGTTGTTGTGTGTACCCACTTTTTTTAGTGCTACGTCATATGGTTTTTTTTTGTTATTGAAAATGTCTATGTTTGATATATATATATATATATATATATATATATATATACTCATCAAACATAGACATTTTCAATAACAAAATATATATATATATATATATATATATATATATATATATATATATATTTGGGAAAAATATAACAAACTAGAAAATTTCTTGTGACATGTTTCACATATATATATATATATATATATATATATATATATATATATACTTTAAAATTATTATTATGGATACTTCATATTTCAAATAGATGCCCATTTTTATATTAATTGCCCAGTGTGTATTATGACTATTGAATGTGCAGTGGAGAAATTTTAGATATTAAAATTGTGTCCATTAGCTGGGTTTGAACCTGCATACCCTTAGATTTGACCTCTACCAGGGAATGCAGTTTTCTTTACTAGGATTTCTTGAATGCACAAGCCAATCAACATAATACACTGTTTAGTTAATATAAAAAGATGAGGCAACTAATCCACATATGAAGTATCCATTAGAATAGTGTTTTCATTAATTCTTTTATATATATATATATATATATATATATATATATATATATATATATATATATATATAATATAGAAGGCACAAACACTAATATTCCATGGTTATAATTTATTACATTGGAATCGTAATCACAATTCAATTCATCAGACCTACAAATTCAAAAAGAAATTGGAAAATATAACTCCGCGTATAAAAAACAAAATTTTAGTGAGAGTGTATGTGTGGGAGTCACACACTTGTTTCCCACTCATGCACAAATGAAATATTTGTGTGGTTATCTATAATGATTTTTACGAGCACGGCAATAACGGCAAACGCGTTCAGGAAACTTTCATTACGGATAGAAGCTGCAAAGAACAAACGTTTTATTTATTTCATTACAAGAATTTACAAAAAGGAACAATCAATTAGCTTATCTTCATACCCTGCCTGGTAGAAAAACGTTGCTGGTGGTTTTTAAAAACCCTGCCATAGCCACGAAACCGTGATATCACCCTTGGTTGGCGGCTGATGAAGATAGGGTATCGCACATGCTAACACATGTTGTATGTTAAAAAAAAATTTTATATTGACCACTAATATATATATATATATATATATATATATATATATATATATATATAATATTAGTGGTCAATATATAATATATATATATATATATATATATATATATATAGTTAAGTAATGAAAATCTTGGTAATCCATATGGATAATCCTGAGGAGGATGAAATCTGGAGAGCTCAATGTTAAGTCAGAGCGAATAATTTAATTTAAAGAAAAAATTTAATTTAAAGAAAAAACTGAGCACTTTAAGGTTCCGTTATTATAATTTATTTCACCAGAGATTTTATTTTTTTCTGGATCTTCAGACTTCACTTTCAAGGGTGAAAAAATGAATTTAAAATTTACACTTTGGAAGGGAAGTATTACGCTTATATAAGGTGACATAGAGGGTGATGAGGGATAGTGTGAGAGACATGGTCGAAATTAGAGAGGGAAGGGAGAGTTTTAAAATTTATTTTTATTACAATACTTAATATTAAGGAGGAGGGGGGGGCAAGGATCAGACATTGACCTATTTAATTGGTCAACTCACCAGAAATGATATGGGAAAAATATTAAAAATTGGGGAAGTAAAGTGATAAGAAATAAGAGATGGATGTATGGGTTTTGAAGGAAGGAGAAGGGTGGTATACCTTGATGTTTGGGCAGTTTAGAAAAACACAGATTTTAACATTTGATAGTAATTTAAATGTTTAAAAACTCCACTAATAAACTAGATTTAATGCTTGATAGTAATTTAAATATTTAACTTCTCCACAAATAAATTAGGGATTTAATATAAACTAAATATTATAATAATAAACAAATATAAAAATAAAAATAAAAAGTTACTAATAATAATATTTTAATATTGTGAATGACAGTTAAGGTAAAATCTTTTTTTAGTTAGAGTCTAATTCATCAATTTAATCTGAAGCTATTTTTAGATGAGTAATATTTCTTAATTAAAGTTTAAGTTTCAAAGCAAGATGAAGTAAGATTTGAAGGTAATAATAAAAGAATTTACTGTTTTTACATACACACGCCACATACATATTTATGTAAATACACATATATTCATATACATGTACAATTACATATATAACCACATACACATCAGTATACACGCACATGCATACACAAATATTTGCATATACATATTTCCACATGCATCCATCTTTATATATATTTAAATTTTTTCTTAAATTTTACAGTTAACATTAGATAGTGAATTAAGTGTTTAAATTTCAAAAAAAATATTTTTAATTTTAATATTTTTAATATCATGACTAATGGTTAATGAGTAATATTTTTTAATTTAAATCTAAGTGATCAATTTAAATTGAAATTATCTCCAGATGAGTAAAATTTCTAATTTTTCAAGTCTAATTAGAAATTATTTCAAGACGAAGTAAGATTAGAATTAATACAAGAATAGGAGGTAATAAAGAAATACGTCTTTACATTAAATCTCTATTTATACTCTCTCTCTCTCTCTCTCTCTCTCTCTCTCTCTCTCTATATATATATATATATATATATATATATATATATATATATATATATATGGAGACATAGTGGAGTAATGAATAGCTGAATTTGAATTCCAGTGGAGATCATTACATTCACTTACGTGTTAATACTGTTTAGAAATCCATCTCTTCTCCCCTTGCTTTGTGTAAATAGCAGGACAGAGTGGGGCCTGTAGCCTTGGGTGGTGAACGGTCTAGGAGAAGGACAACTCTGAATTAAAAAATCTGTGGAGAGTCAATTGGGGGACCTTGTGGCACACTGGGCACCCGTTTTCTGTATTTGGCTCTTCCAAAAAGTGTGGTTGGTTCTGCACAAGCCTTCACCATAATGAAATATTTATTATTTACCATTTTATAAATAAATAAGTAAATTTTTTATTTATAAATTTAAATAAATGTCTGTGAACAAGAAAATTTAAATAAACAAATAATGACAAGTAACTCAAATTATAAATTTTTTTCCAGAAATTTCTTTTATTTGCTCTCACCACATGAATTAACTAAAATAGGTTGAGAGCATCTCTTCCTCTGAATCAAACATTTAGATTTTAGGTGAAGCCACACACATTCAATATTTTGAGTGCATAAATTGTTTGGGGGATAAAAGATTTCTTTTCAAATCTTTATGAATGCTAAATAATAAATATCACATTGTACTTGTTAAAATAAACATCTTGTGAATAAACATTGCCAAGGGAGGCAAAAGTGTATACAGTAATAGTGGTGTCAAGCAATAACTGTCCTTTTGACACAACATTTTTTATAGGCATGAAGGTCAAACATTGCCTACACATACACACATATATTTAATGTATTTATGTAGATGTATATTTAAATAAGTTTTTTTAATCACTGGCTGTTTAATCTTTTATTGTTTTTTTTCCAGTTTTTGAATAAGCTGTGGATAAACTGCTTAAACTTTGTGATTTTGTTTCACTTTCATACAAGTGCTTTCAGTTCTCTCAGTCTTTATCAAGAACTGAATTTTGTATTCATTATTTAAATACTAATAGATAATACATATATTCTGTAAGCAACTACAGTAAAGAAAGACAAAAAAAGTTGCATCTATTTATTATATAAAAGAAAAACCTACATTAAATAAAGTATCTTTCACTGCAGAAAATGGTATTTTAATATTGTATAAAATATTTAATATACATACAACAAAATAATAATATGCATTGTTATTTGATACATTTTTTTCTGATGCATTTTGAGCACTTAAACTGTTCTTCATTCATAACATCACATATACAATATCAGTATATTTGAATTAGTTTTAATTATAACATCCTTTTAAAAAATGCCAGGATCTTGTTTGCTATATTGACATCATTTGATTCTTGATAATGACTGAGACAGTCGAAAGTGCTTGAACAAAAACATGAACTTTGGAACCAACAGTTTTGACCACAATTTGATTCAAATATGCTACAACTTATTTGAAAATTGGAAGTAATATGATATTTTAGTTTGCCAATTTAGGCAATTTTTTTCCTACACTTGCTGCAAGTGGAAATGCCATATAACTTGTAAATGATTTCTGTGTATGTGTACCATATTCATTACATGTTAGATGCATATATTAAAAAATCAAGAGAAATATATATGTATATTTGTCTTATCTGTGTGCATATATATGTGTGTTTGTGCGTGTGTGTCTATAAATATATATATAGCGAGAGATATGTTAATTATATATATATACATATATATATATATATATATATAATCAGATAGTAGATAGGTTCGCCTATCATCTGGTTCAAACTCCTACTCAGTCTATTGAACAAGAGTAGAGGTTCACTGTTTAAGATTGGCTTACTGGTTCCTTCTAAAGTCTTCTCATTCTCTTTCACTCTCAGTAGCACCTTCCATATTAGTGGTATTATCACCTTGGAGGGGGAGAAATACCTTCCTTTATATCAGAAATAGGTTTTATTGCAAAAATAGTAAGATTATCTCCCTTTCTTTTCATATCTATCTATATATATCTATCTATATCTATCCACCTATCTATCTATCTATCTATCTATCTATCTATCTATATATATATATATATATATATATATATATATATATCCACACACACATACAGATGAGCACATGTGTATGGATGTGTAGATGTGGCTAGGTTACGTATATATAAAACTTACTGATTTGCAACTGTCCAGTTTAGGATTACAATGATTCATTTATTTTTTGTTCGTATGTTTGTTTTTTCTCTCTTTTTCACTCTTTCCTTCTATTTTACAGAAAAAACTAAAATTTAGCCACAAGACAAGCCTGGTGTAGTTGGGTAGGGGCTTTCTCCCATCTCCTGTTTTGTGAAAAAGAATTTATTTTTGTTTCTTTTCTTCCTTGCTATCCAGTTTGTTGGTGTTGAGGGGTTCATAACCACAGTGGTGGATCGTTGGCCACAGCATCTGCGTCGGGGCTATCGCCGTGAGATCCTCATCGGCTGTGTTTGTCTGACTGCATTTACAATCGGATTAGCCATGGTGACAAACGTAAGTGGACATTTATCACCATTATAATCATTATTAATTATTATTGTTGTTATTGTTTTTTATTATTTATTATTATTACTATTATTAAGACATTAAGAGAGAAAAAAAGATGACCCCAGTTTGCATTATTGTGTTAATCTTTGCTTTCTCTTGTTTTTGAAGCAGTGAGGCCGGAAAAGAAAAAAAAGACACAAAAAGAACTAAAAATGCTTTTAAAAAATAAGAAAGAAAGAAAGAAAGAAAGGTAAAAAGGAAAGAAAAGAGAGAGAGAGAAATAAAAGGCATCCTTTTTAACTATCTATATATGTGTATTTATATGTATATATATATATATATATATGTGTGTGTGTCTATATATGTGTGTGTATCTAAATATATATATATGTGTTTGCATATATGTATCTGGTGTGTATTTTGAGTAGATATATGCATATCTGAGTGTGTATATATATATATATATATATATATATATATATATATATATATATATATATATATATATATATATATATATATATATATTATTTATGTGTAATGTACATACACGCACACATATATAATATGTGGGTATGTGTGTATGTATGTATGTATGTATGTAAATATAAGAGTGAATGCTTGGTGTTGGCCTCAGTGTCTACTGATATTTACACAGGTTCTACCCTGAAATTGAGTATTTTTACCCATTAATATAGCATACCATAATACTATATTTTTACCTTATATATATATATATATATATATATATATATATATATATATATATATATATATATGTGTGTGTGTGTGTGTGTGTGTGTGTTTTGTGTGTGTGTGTGTGTGTGTGTGCATATGGACCATATATATGGCGTCAAGATTGTGTTTAACATGAAACAGACTGCCAACAATGAGTGTTGACCTCAATGTCCACTTTTATTTTTACATATGCCCCTATCTCTGATATTGAGCACTTTAATATAGAAATATATCATACAGAAAAATTATATATATATATATATATATATATATATATATATATATATATATATATATATATATAATAGATAGATAGATAGATAGATAGAAGTGTGAACATAAATTAAATACCTAGATATTAGTAACTATATAAGCATGTGATAATGTACATATATAGATAAGCAAACACATTTAATTTAAGGTGTAAAAACACAGTGCTCACTGTAATTAAACAGAGCTATAAAGTATATGCTAATAATTACACATATACCCACATTTGTAGTGCAAACATAAATATAGGTATATATGTATTTATTAATATATACATATATATATATATATATATATAATCAATCTGTCAACCAATGTTTTTTTTTGTGTGGCAAGGCATTCCTCACCTCCACTTTATTCTCACTGAAACTAACAATTACAATTTTGCAAATTTCCAAATTTCTAACATCAACAAATATCTATATATTTATCTAAGCTTTCAGCTCACTTGAAAAAAATCACAACTGAGAAAACATCACAAATTTACGACCAGAATCTGCTATTCCATGCCCATTATTATTGCATTGCTATGTCAACATAACAGAATATCATCTTTGATGTGGAATATCTTTGTTTAAATATCAAAATAATCCCTCTGAAGATGGCTTATGTGAAGCGAAAGTTTAGATCAAGAAATAGCATAATAAAAAAATATCCAAATGTTGGACAGTTTTTGTTTTTATTTTCTCCCGAAATTAAAGCAACTATACAAAGCTTAGAATGGCTTATAATCAAACATAATAGACATTTGTTGTCTATTATATTTAGCAATATATCTTTGAATATTGATGTAAACTTCATCTCAACCAAATATGTTATATATGTTCAACCTATATATACACATATATATGTATATTATCTACCTATCCATCTCTCTATATACATGTAGCCAGCTTTCAATCTTTAAATATATATATATATATATATATATATGTGTGTGTATATATATATATATATATATATATA